CGTGTTTGGTTGTTAATAGCTTTGGTTTTTGTTTACACAAGGTTCTTGCTGTGACCTGAGACAACATGAGTGTAAACCTCACAACAGAGGCCTCAACAACAAATGCTTCGATGACTGCATGTGTGAGGAAGGTAAGCCTGGGGATTATTCACTCATACTAAAATCAGTTTGCTACTTTGTGCACTCCATGGAAAAATGTATAGCTGCAGCTCATCTTTTCATTTCCAGTGGTATACTTTGCTAATTTCCCCAAGTCTTACTGTTCATAAATAAGATTTTAAAAGTCATTGACTGGTGATGGGAACGGGTCCCTAGTGTGGACAAAAAGATCTGCTGACTGACTTTATGGTAAACAGAAAATGTCCCACTGTAAATACATTTCAATTTTCATGTTTAGAAATGATTATTTGATAGATTATGTTTATGAGCTGGTAAAGCACTCTAGGGTCTGTTTTCATAAACATCTAAAAGTGCTTGATTAACACCGACTGCCATGGTGTGGATTTACAGTATGCCCTCTTATCTACTGTAGCGCTGCTGAGTAACCACAGAATGTGATTCTAAAACAGATACAGACATAGTACTTATAAAAGCCAAAAAAAGAACATTGTTGTCCTTTGTGTCGCTGTATGCTTCGGATCATTGTCTTGCTGGAAAACAAATTTCCTGTCAAGTCGCAGTTTTCCTGCAGACTGTATGAGGAATATTCCTGTACTTTGCTGCTTTCATTTTACCCTCTACCTTTACAAGCCCTCCAGGGCCTGCTGCCAAGAAGCATCCCCACAGCATGATACTGCCACCGCCATGCTTTACAATGGGGGTGGTGTGTTTGTGATGATGTGCAGTATTTAGTGTCCGCCAAGCATAACATCTGCTCTTATGGAGCCCAATTTTATTCTCACCAGACTGAAATATCTTCCTTCAGTGTACTTAGAAGTCAGCGACCTGCCTTCTGGTGAACTATAGTGGAAATTTAATATGAGAGTTTTTTTCTTGTACAGACTTTTTAAGCTCTTGGCAGATTTGTGTCATATTCCTGTCACTTCTTGATGATAGATGTAACTGTACCCAAAGGGATATTCAGGGACTTGGGAAACTACTGCCCCTGATTATGTAAAGCATAGTAGTATATCTGATTTATTCTCAGACAACATATTAATAATAACAATAACTGATAAGATTTATATACACTGTCAATTATTCATTCACACACATTCATTCCAGTGGTGATAATCTACGATGGTAGCCACAGCTGTCCTGGGGCAGTCTGACATGTTAGTTATGATCTTTTAGGGTTTCGCTGTTATGCTAAATTCCACCGGAAGCGACGTGTGACCAGGAGGAGGGGTCGCTGCGTGGTGCCAGAGTCAGTGAGCAGTGACAAAGGAGGCTTCATCACTATATGAGGAGGAGGACAAGATGGAGGACGAACATGAGGAATGACCCCATGACCACTCTGACATAGATGACAGAACAGCCAAGACACCACATGACACTACTAAGTACTTAAAGGTGACGGCTTGATGGTTTTTCAGATCAGCTCCACAATATAAATCACCCAGAGGCCAAATCTGGTCAGTTAGAGCCAATTAAGAAGTAACCAATCTGGGAATCCTGGAAATGTTGTATTGCAGAATTGGCAATGCACCCCAATCCAGGTAAAATCCGTTTGAATTCTGCTTTGTTCACTCCAGTATCACTGCAGGAAGAGAGGCTTTCTGAAATTTCCCCGGTCCACAGTAAGAAAACATGTTTTTACCTGCGTTTATTTGGTTGAAAAGATTCAGTCAGCAGGAGACACGACAACGCAAGTAAACTTTGGAGATGTCAGAGATTAAGTGCTAATATTTGCTACTATTATGGTTCCTGTTGCTGTGGTTCATTTTAAGCAAAAGCAGAATTTGAGAGTTCTGACAAACCTCTTCTTCAAATCTTAGAGTCTGTTCTGCATCTGATTGTTTCTGTCCTGCTAGTCTAAGTCAAACTGTTCAAAATAATTTTTAACATTGATTTAATGTCTTTGGAGTCCTGATCAGTGCTTTTTACAGCCTTGAGACCATTCATATTGAATCAAGTCATTTGTCACCCACAGAAATGACAAAAAATGGGTATTTGCTATGATTGTGTGAATTTACTGTCACATTTACTTTCCTGGTCTCTATGCTGAGCTGGTTCTCCTGACAATGCTAAAAATTATTTGAAACTGATATTTGAACGAGTCTGCTATCTTGTATTGTAAATATGAATGTGTTTCAATTGCCATTTTTTAATTGACACCACAATTCAAATGTACTTAACGGTAGTATGATAAACAAAGATGCTTGTTGGACTTTCCATTTTACATGTCCTAATATATGTTTTATTTATTCTGTACTCAACAAGTTTGTCTATACATTGTGTTTTTCTGCCTTTTTCGTTTTCATGATTAAACACTTACTAGGAAAACACTGTGTGGTGCTTTACATCACTGATGTTCCATTTTTGGCACAAGCGTGTATCACTGATGTTAATGTTCAGTCCTAAAAGGCAGTTTTCAGTCATTAAAACTAATTTCTCAAACTTAAATCTAAATCAGGGACATAAATTGTGATGTTGAAGTAAAAAGGCCCCAACTGTGGTGGAATATTCATCAAAGTACCAAAAAGACAATGTAAAAATAGTCAACTATAAGGAAAAGAAGTCCTGCATTCAAAATGCAATCTGAACTGAACTGTAGATATGAAGAGAAGTATTCATAACTGAGTCATTTATTCTACTGGCACTTATACAGGGTGGTGCAATATGAGCAGTTAAGCCTAAGGCTTTTTTTTTTTTTTTTCAAAACATCCCCAAATTCAGTTCGTAACAACTCCACAACCGTGCCGCCAAAATAAACAACCTAATAAGAGGTATAAGAGACACTCGGGGGAAATCTGAAATACAAAAATCTCCTTATCTCACCTCCAGGTCACAGTGAGATTTGAAAATTGAGATTTTTACAAACAGAAAATGTAAATTAGAGTAATTAACATGCTTATAACAATGCGTCAGTGACACTTATGTAATTAAACCTGTTCTAAAAATTCCCACCTACAACTCCACCATATTTGAAGCAACATAAAGGAAGCACCATAAATGCTACATCCCTTTTTACGGCCACTTTGGTGAATGTGCTACACTCTGTAACCTTTGAAGAATGGTGGAAGGTTGTGTTTTAATCCCTGCTTGGTCCTGGTTCAGTGACGTGGTGGATGGTAGAGATTAAGGTAAAAGGATGAGAAAAAGCAATGTACAAACAATAGATATATTTCAGTTAATATCATGTATGTCAGCAGTATCAAGTCAGCATGATATTTATAAACCACAAAAAGAGAGTAAAGGAAGTTCTTTTGCAGAAAAAAAATGATGGTAATGATCAAGCAGCAATGTGATGCAGCATCTCAGTGATGCAACTAAACAAGACGATGGCTTTCTCCGGAAGTTCATAGAGAAGTCTGGCTGTTATGAGAATATTATTGAGGTTGGAAAGTAATTAAAACTGTGCTCTGCTTATCATCATTTTTTGCTTTGCTTTTTTATTTTTATTTTTATTTTTAAAAAAGGTAGTTTTATCTTTTTTGGCCTCAGACAGTAATTTAAATCTCAGGAGTTCAGAGAGCAAGAGTCACTTTGGTAGAAATGCTAAAAATTTCCCATCTGAATGATTGGAGACTCAATGCTTTTAGAGAACTGATGCTATAAAATCTTAAAAGTAACTATCCCTTTGTGATAAATTGTGTTATACTTCAAGCTGTAATATTTCCTTGTGAAATGTGGAGAGTTGGCCAGTGCACTTAGCTGAACCTGTGGAGGGTCAGGGTGCTTCGAACAAGGACGAGAGATTTAATAACTTGTCTCCTTTTTCCTTTATTATCTGTTATCGGTTAAAGCTTTGAGAAAACATGAACTCCTTCTCTAGGATACTACTGAAGAATAAAGATCATGACAATGATACTATGTGGTTCAGTGAGACAAACAGATTTTGTCACATAAATCAATCCCAAACATAATCTTTTCTTGAAAATGAGGAATTTTCAAGCAGTAATGAGGCGCCATCTATCTCCAAGTACTAAAATGATCTGCCAAAAACCCCGAACAGCCAAAACCTTTTAACGCAAAGCTTACGACACAGTAGAGCAAGTGCACGCAATAACATTAAACACGTCTCTGATCTGAACACACAAGGCCTCCGAAAATCTATCCATATCAATAATTGATTAGATGGAGAAAGTAACACTCATTTTTCTTTCCTAAGCAGCAGCTCAGTCGAACTGTGATTGTGCCATCCTGATTTACGGCCACAGAATAAAAGCAGTAGTGATGTATTTTTAATACTTACCTCTGACAGAGTGCTCCGGTGGAGTGCCCTGTTGAAACCTGGCCAACAGCCAGCGACGTGATAGATTACACACACCTACATCCCGGCAGGGCCACAGCTGCAACAAAGGCACTTCTACCTTTCCCAATGCTTTTTTTTTGAAGTAATTAATTACCAAAGTTGCTATCTTAAGCCAACTTTTCCCAGTCAGGCTGCTCTCAAAAGGACACAAGTACAACAATGAGAAGAATTTACACGTGAGTAAACAAAGCTGTAGGAAATTTTGCAGCTTGTCTTGAGCTTCAGAGATAATGAAACAGTCCATAAATTATTTCAGTGGAAGTATTGTCAACAGACAATAATGTACGTAAATGTAGTGTAGAAGATTGTCCTTAATCACAATCTTTGTATCATTGTGAATTGTGTCATTCACTTTCCAAGTCTGTCACTGCAGGTCAAAATGTTAAAGGAATGATTTATTTTCTGTTAAATCAGTTTCTCTTGTGATTGCTTTATCTGTGTAGACATTCAGCTTCTAATTAAATAACATGTTCCACAGTTGTCACACTGCAAACCCATTTTCACTCCACACCTCCAGCCCAGCATGCTAATGCAGCTAAATTTAGCTCTGAATGATATAAAAGAATAAATACTTCAGTAAGAGAGAAAAATCCTGAGTCACATGTTATCACAGCAGTCAGAGGTCACCTGGGGGGTCAAGGTTCAAACTGGATAGTACAGGGGCCATCTGCCCTGCTTGATGCATAAAATCAATCATCTCCTTCAAGGTAAAAAAGGAATGAAGCGCCAAGAAATGAGTCAGACTGTAGACTAAAAATCACCAAGAGTACATCTCACATTAACATTTTAAACGTTTGGCTGCTGTTCTCTTCCACAGTGACCTGTGGTGAGTTCAAAGGCTAAATGTGCTCAAGTTCCAACATTATTTCAGAGGAGCAACAGCAAGTAAAGAAAATGTCAGTCACAGAACGTAGAGGTAACAAATATTTATCAACCGCCATAGCTGGTTTTGCTTTCACCTTGAGAGTCTCTGTGTACTTTGCTAACTCAGTGGCTTCACTTGCTTTTCCAGACACAGTCATGATACCTGATAGGGATAGCTGGTATCAAAATGAAGGCCGAGTTTGAAGGTTGGTGTGGTCCATCCCATGAGTACTGAGTACATATATAATAGGCCAAATGTAGTGACATCTACTAGGTACCTATGAGTCACAATGTGAACATGACAGGTGTCGCTGCAGAGGTGATCCCATTCCACCATGGTCTGTAATTCACCACTTCGGTAATTTTTAAGGGTGAGAAGTGAAAAACCAAAGATTCATCCATCCATCCATCCATCCATCCATCCATCCATGACCTTCTAGGTATCCCTTTACCCAGCAGCTTTTTCCATCTTTTCCTGGAGGATCCCAAGGATTTCCTAGGCCAGATAAGATATTCAATCCCTCTAGTAAACTCTGGTTCTACCCCAGGGTCTCTTCCCAGCTGGATTAGCCCAGAAAAGGTCCAAAGGAAGACTTCCAGGAGGCATCAAGGAGCAGTAACTTTACCCCGAGTTTCATCTGGATCTCAAAGGCTTAGTCCAGACACCCTCAAACTCATCTGAGCCACCTGTATCCACAGTCTCATTCTTGCGATCCTGACCCAGAGCTCATGACCATAGGTGAGGGTTGAAAAGAAGACCGACTGATAAATTGGAGGCTTTGCCCTCCAGCTCAGCTCTGTGTTCACCATGACAACCCAGTACAAGACCTGCATTACTGCTGACACTGAGCGAGCACCTTATTTCTCTTGGTAATAGTGGTCACAAAATAACCTTAACATATGGCCCACTTAATAAGTATGTCTACCTGCTCTGTATTTCATGGTCTTGAACAGCAGATGGAGTTTGCGGAGTTGTAATGGAGATGATTGAGATGACTGAGATGCCATCATGTTGTATAGTCTATGATCAAGAATTGTGCCTTATGAAATGTAGGTGTCTCGAAAGAGATAAGAGTTTTCGGTATTTATTGAATATTTTTATTAATTTATGATAAACAGAAGCTTTTTTCCTTTATGCTTTTAGACTGGTATGTGTGGCTACGTTTTCAAATCTGAAGAGGAATAATGTAATGTGTTGCACAGAATCAGATCTGTTTTCACAGAAAAAGCGATCAGATATCTGAACACTATTGCTACACAAAGAGTAAGTTTCCTGTCGGGGAAATGTCAGTTTTTTATAACTTGGTTTTATAGTTTTAGTCATTCATCCTATTGGCAGTAAGAACTTCATAGTTGGCCCTAAATACTTCAGAAGCACACTGTCTAGCCATACAGTCACTCTGGATGGCATTGCCTCAGCCTCCACTTCTACTGTGAGGAACCTTGGAGTTATGTTTGGTCAGCATATGTCCTTCAGCTCACATATTAAACAAATCTATAGAATGGCCTCCTTTCACCTGCACAACACTGTCAAAATCAGGAACATCTTGTGTCTTGAGTAATGCTTAAAAACTGGTCCATGCATTTGGAACTATACTTTTAAGACTGGACTTTAAACTATCCTATTTAATACATTTTTTACTTAGTACTGGTTCCGGCAATGGTGAACCAGCCCTTAATTAATGCTGCTATAGTCCCAGGCTGCTAGAGGATGTCCCATGCTGCACCAAGCGCCCCTCCTCTACTCTCCTCTTTATTTATTTGCCAACATTGTGCGTCAATAACTTTGTATCTTCTATCTCCTGTAGCTTGTGTTTTGTCCTCTCTCCACCTCTCAGGCTCAGGACTTACTGGCCCACTAACCAGTATTTACTGCATGTTATTTCTCATCTTTTCTCTCTTTGCTCCTCTGTGACCTCAGCTGCTTGAGCCATACTGCTGCCAAACCTGAGCATGGATCTTGAAACTTGCATACACTGAGAATGGTCGGCCCATGATGTGATAGAGAATTTTTGAAATGAATAATATTTTCATTTTCATGACAGATGACATTTTAAGAAATTCTACTCAGGAAATTGAACTTTTATTCATTCATTCATTCATTCATTCATTCATTCATTCATTCATTCATTCATTCATTCATTTATTTATTTATTTATTTATTTAATACGGAAAATCTGTCAGCCACAAATTATTCAATTCAGTTCAAAATATTTTCACATTTTAACATGCCTTCTTTGATGGTTATTATGACATAAACTAAACCCTCTTCAATAAATACCCCCCTAAATACTTTACTTAATTATACATATAAATAGAAACAACCCTCCCCCACATCAATGCACAGAGTTTGCTTCAACAAGTTCAGCCTTCTTCCCTCAAACACCTGCTCCTTATATTTGCAGGTGATGAGCAAGATGGTGCTGCCTGGCGTCCCAGCTGCAAACCATGTGCTCCAAACAAAGAGAAAATGTCACATCTAACTCAATAAACATTTTAAAAACTAAAGGTTGTGTTGGTGTTTCATTTCAATTGACCATTTTATCCATTTATCTCTAGTGACGGCAGTGTGTCATCACAGCGAAGGAGAAGCACATTTTAAATAGTACTTTGTAGGATTGAGTGAAGGTTAAAGGGTATACACTATTTAAGTTTAGACAATTTGTCATTTAAAAGTCAAGTGCCCAAACCATCTTAGCTGGCTCCTTTTGACGAACAAAAACGCAGTGACTCCACTCCAAACTCCCTGTCTGTAAGGCTGAGCCCAGCCGCCCTACAAAGTTCCTTCAGAGCTCCTGAGCTGAGGCGAGGGCTGCAGATTGACTGGTAATTCAATAGCTTCTCCCTTCTTCTCAGCTCCCTGTTGCAAAATTAAAAAGTTGCCTTCTGCAGGAGTCAGTTGACCATTTGGATCTGCTGGAAACAGTTTGTCCTCATCATATTTTATGACTGTGGGAGATAGAAGATTTTATTCAACTCTTAAAATGTCTGTCCACATTTTAAAGGGTGAAAACACAAAAATGACCAGGTCCAAAAACATATGAAATTCTCAAAATACTGCCAAAATATTTTACAGAACTTAATATTTGATTCTACCATTATTAAAACTGATTGAGTAATCAACTTCATAGGTATTATCACAGATTACCATTTACTGGTGCTTGTATCAAAAGTTTCTATCAGCCAGAAGTTGTTGCATGTCGCATTGTTTTGAGTAGTTGACAAAATGGTAGAATACTATTGCTTTTCAATACCCTTGTTGCAGAACTGCTTTGAGCGTTCTTTCTTTCATTTTACTAATTGTGTGAGTTATAACGTTATTTGGCTGCCATTACCTACAAGTTCTAATATTTATTTTAAAGAAAGCGCTTTCATCAAATGTAATGTTTAATATTTTATTTTCCAGTAATGATCCTATAAAGTTAATCAAATGTTTTAATGTCAACATTCAGGTGATGTTCTATGAAAACAAAGGTTGTGAAAACAACATTCAAAAAATGTTTTCAAGGTATTTGAAACTGAATATTTTGGGGTCGTTGTTGAGGAGGACATGTTTCTTCGATAAAACATTTTCACAATGATCCGTGTTAACTTAGAACGTTATCAAACCAGCATTCAAACATTGTTTTCCAGATGTTATCGAGGCTTCAGTTGAAGGAACGTTTTTTTTTAAATGTAATGTATGATGTGAAGGTGGAATGCTTTGGCCTTTTGTTGAGGGAACACATTATAGAGTCTAATAAACATTCCCACAATGTTCTAAAAATGTTACACAAAGAACATTCTCAGTGCAACATTCAGTTTGAAGAACATTAGGGCATAATGGTCTAACAATGTTATGATCAAACTTATTTAGAACATCTGAAGGTTTCCTTCCTTTAACCTCTTAAGACCAGACTTCTTGTTTGATATGCATTTTTTTTAAATTCCTTTTTTGTATTTGATCTGATCAAATAGCAAAGAGGAATAAAAAACATTAAAAAATAAAGAAAATAAAAATATATTTAAAAAAAACATATATCTATAATAAAAATAAAAACAAAAACCCAAACCATAACTATATATATATATATGATGATGATGATGATGATGATGATGATGACGATGTCCACGCATGTCAGGTCTTAAGAGGTTAAGAAGAACATTTTTGGGAACTAAAAGAAAACTTCCCACAGAAAACATTGGTATTAACTTTGCAGAAAACATTCTATCTCTGTACGTGTAAGTCCATCCATCCATTATCTATACACCTTAATCCTCACGAGGGGGGGCTGGAGTCTATCCCTGCTGATTTAGGGCGAAGGCAGGGGACACCCTGGACAAGTCACCAGTCTATCACAGGGCTTGTACGTGTCAGTGTTGAATACAAATGTTGCGTTTAGTGTTTGACAGCAGACAGTTTCTTCTGACTCATTCCTGATCCCTCACACAGAACCAGCGCAGGGACGCGGAGCCCAGCTGTGACCGATGCGGAACCTCATGCGCTCTGAGCGGCTGAAGGCGGCGGGAGAGGGAGGGAGGGAGGGAGGCTGGAGGGGTGAGGAGGGCTGAGAGTCACATGGGAAGCAGTCAGGCTGCTGTCACATGGCTTGTGTTTGCAGGTTGAGCTGAAGGGGGGAGGAGGGCTTTTTGGAGAAGAAGTTTGTGTAACAGAGAAACTGCGGCATTTTGTAGGTTTTTTTCTTCTTCTTCCATGAAGTTCTTCAACACGTTGAAACGCTGAATCGGATCAAGGAAGACCTGCTTTGACTTAAAAAAAAAACAAAAAAACAGCTTATTATGGAAATCCCTGCCATAAATCTAAAGGTGAGGCTGCTGTTTACTTGTTGTGTTGAGAATAGCAAATGTTGGGGAAATGACAACTTTGGTTTCTTCTCACTTCTCGTCTGTGTGTGTTGCAACCAGAACACACTGACCTGCATTTGTTGGTGCTTTTTGTTAAGTTTGGAAAGTATTTAGGAGATCTAGCTACCAACATACAAATATGTTTAAGCGTTTTGAATCAAGGGCAGCAGACCTTTGGACAAAGAAAATAACATAACGGGATGTGACAGATGCAAACTTGTTGAGGAATGTGCTTATCAGATACAACAATCAATGTACATTTGTGTAAATATAGCCAAAAAACAAAAACACTCAGATAAATTTGCTACAGGACATGACTGGAAACATCCAAATAAAGTCACATCAGACATTTCTGTTTGCTTTATTTGTTATTTTAAAGAACATGGCAGTATAAGCATTGACTTTTTCCCCATCAGTGAAGTGATACCTCTGATCCTTTGAGCCTCACCTCACAGCCTTTAAAAAGGAGAACTGTTGAGCTGAGCTTTGTCCTCCTATTGTTTTTAACAAACGTCCAACTTTTTTTACTCAAAACTTGTGATGTGAAAAGCGAGCCAAGGGGACTCCCACGCTGCAATACTTCTGGGAAGGATGCCGCGTTCTCCCTCTTCATGCTTTGTGTTCATACATTTCAAACCATCTGGATGATCACATGCCTTTTGTTTAGTTCTGTAGTTTCTGGTTATGATGTTTGCAATGAGATTGAAGCCGGCATGCATCTAATGATCGTTTTTATGATCTGTTCATCAGTTGTTTTTCAAATCTGGAATTCAAAGTGACGTTTTTAGATCTTTTCGTTTGTCGGATCAACCGTCCAAAAACCAAAACTAATCCAGTTGTCAGTTATATAAAAGAGAGAAGCTTAAGAAACCTCACTGTGGAGAAGCTGGAACCACTGAATGTTTCAGTTTTTTATTGGTATGTGACTGATTGGTAATGCATTCCAGCTGTGGACTAAACTGACCATGAAGTCCTTAATAACCCTGCATTTCTGTTCAACACTTGTCTTCTCTATTACAGGCCATAGTACTGGTGCACTGGCTGCTTACAGTATGGTGAGTGTGTGTTTTTTCACAACCCTGAGGAATTTCTCTCCTCTTTTGGCTCGCATACACACTCTTGATTCAGGTCTACTCCTTCACCTGCACGTCCCCATGCTTTGTGCAATTGAATGCATCTTGTGTGTCTCTCCTGTAGGGGATGCATGGCCTGGCTGCCCCAGTCCTTTGCATGGGGGAACTTCAGTGTTTTAGCAATCGGAGTCTGGGCAATTGCACAGAGGGACTCGATCGATGCTGTGCTCATGGTGAGTCCTCACATTGATTCCTTCGTCTCGGCATCATGTGACACATACAGGAGTCTAACTATAGGCGCAGCGCTGCATATCTGTGCTAACCCATTTGTCTGAGGAATCTAGGACAGTCTGTGAGCATCCCTTTGAGAAAGATAGCCTTCTCTTAGTTCTGCACAGAGTACAGTAGCTGTGGCTTTCAATCAGTTCACAGCTGCAGCAGCAAACATGTGCGAGTTAAGTCTTAACTAAGGTCAGTCGAACTTCCAATTAAAGCCTAAAAGGTCACCATGTCCAAACTCTGAACTCATAGTTCCACTCCAACAACCCCTGACGCCTGCTGGCCGACAACAAAAATGTGACTCATTAACTGTTGTCAACTGCTATGTAAGTTGGGTTGAGTAATTTTTGAAAGAAAAAAAAAATCTACGGATTAAATATTTTTTGGTTGCTTTATTCCTCTGTGACAGTAAACTAAATATCTTTGGGTGTGTGGACGAAACAAGAAATTTGAGGACGTGAGCTTTAGGAACGTGAAAGAAACTTTTTACAGCATTTTCAGACAGTTTATAGACTGAACAATTAAGTGAGTCCCGTCATTTTCAGACTATTGAGCGCACCTGAATATAAGCTGCACCCGCTAACTTTAAAAAGGGAAAAAATAATTTGCCCTTTTTTGGGCGGCGGTTTTCCCGTTTTTACCTTGGGTTTTTTCCCCGTAAGGTTTTTTTAACTTTTTATTTCCTTTTTTCCGGTTACCTTCCCCAATTCGTTCCGTTAATTGTTTTTTTCCAATTGTTTTTTTTACCCGGGTTGTTTAAAGAATTAAAATTCCGTTGGCTTCCCGGGAAAGTTCTTTGTTCGTTTTTTTCTTTTTCTTCTGTGGCCTTAAACCCCTTAAGTTGTTTTTTTTCGTTTTGGGATTTGACCGGCTTTTGATTTCTTTTTTCCCCCCTTTCTTCGTTTTTTTTTTGTTTTTGGTTTTCATTTTCCTTTTGTTTTTGGGGCAATTTTTTAAAATTGGGAAAAGCCCTTAGTTTGGCGGCTTCTTTTTTTAGGCGGCGTTTTTCAAGGGTTTTGAAAAAGTTGGCGGTTTTTGTTTTGGAATTTCCGTTAATTTTTTGAAAAAACCAAAAAAATCAACAGATTAATTGGTACTCAAAATAATGGTTGTTTGCAGCCTTATTTCTAGAATTGTTGTCAATTTTAACCACAGCTACTGCCATGCGAGGTGCTCGGCCACCATCAGGAGCAACTTCAAGTTCAGTCCCTTGCCCAAGAACATTTCAACACGTACCGGGGGTCAAACCAACAACCTTGCAATTAGCGAACCACCTGCTCTATTGTCTGAAACAGGGAGCAAGGAGAGTGAAAGAATTCTTAGAGCATATTTAGATTTAATGTACAGCAGTGAGGACTGAGCCCTGCTGTAGCTGTGCTGCAGGTCTGCACTGCACTGGAGATTTACTTGTTGTTAAACTGTCAAAACTTCTCACTGGAGGTCCTTGTAATAGTTAAATTCTTCAAAAAAGTATATATTTCCTGCTGGAGAAAAAAAAAAAAAAAGGCTTCTATCTCAGATGTTCAAGAACTTGACAGCTTTGTGTAGCGAATGAATCTCGAGGACTATCGGACGTCTGACTATTAGACTGATCAAAGCCACAGTCAGAGTCTGTCTTCAGGGTCTCACAGCTTTGAGGGGTTTGAATAAAGAGATGCACCTTGAGAAAACTACTTTTTCTTTTTTGCTAAGTGACAGTTTTGACAGTGATGGATCCTGACTGTCACTGGAGTGAACCTGTGAACCATGTTGCCACCAGACGTAACCGCAGGGGAGCCTTTTACCTTGTTTGCACTCCAACCCAAGGTCACTGTTCAGGTTCTGTCAAGGACTGTGGACTGGGAGAGTTAAGAACATGACTGACAAGCAGAATTCTTTGACACTGGTCAGTGTCTTTGGTCAAATCAACCACTCACCGCTCAATTGCAGGGACGGGAGATGAACTTCCTCTCCCATGTCTACTTTAACATACTGGGTAACTTTTTCAGCAGCATTAATTCAAGTGCCTCAAATGTTTGAAAGTTTAAAATAATTACATATTGAAATGACATTTCATTCTCTCATGGACGATGAAGACAAAAGTGTGGGGGGGGACTGTTTTCTCTTCTTTTTTTATTTTTACTGTAGCACTTTTTTTCCCGTTGGATTTGTTGGGTTTCTTTATGATTTTATTTTGTGAGGTCTTGACCTTACTGTGTGAAGAGCCTTGAGGTGACTCATTGCATGTCATTATAAATACAATGGAATTGAACATTTTTTCCACTGTGTATACAGTTGGATTTTTTTTAAATCTCATTTTCCCCATTGAAACTTTTTTTTTTTTTTTTTTTAACAAAGGACTAGCTTTATTTTCCACCTATTCTAAGACATTACTTTATCTTTACAGATGTGCACTTTATGTTTAACAGCCTCACACACAGCATGTGTCCATTAAGGCTTTATGCTCTCTTTCATCCCTGTAGTTTCTGATGGGGATGATTGTGACCATACTGACCGACATCATCCATATTGGGATCTTTTACCCGTCAAATGACTTGGCAGCAGAAAGAGCACGAGATGTGCTTCGCTTCAGCACGGGAATGGCCATCCTCAACCTGCTGCTCAAACCTGCATCCTGCTTCTTTGTCTACCAAATGTACCGCGAACGGGGAGGAGATTACAATGTCAACTTTGGTAAGTGCCACTTGCGGAACTGAGTAAAGTAACACAAGAAATCTGAAGACTTTTCAGGATGCAGTCATGTGGCGAGTAGGTCGTATGCAAGTGTTTCAGTTATGTAGAGACATTAACAGGATTTTAAACATTCTTTCACTGGCAACTGATTCCATCTTCTTGAATTTATGCAGCAAAAGCCTTGTTCATTTTCCTATATCCATTTTGGCAAGAAGTAATTGCACATTACATAGCATCCAGCAAGTGCACATTCAGAACTGGTGAGAAACTACCCAGAATATGTGAGCATATATGTGCCCCACACAGAGATGACCCCTGAGTGCGACCAAAGCTGAATGTACGGTGTGATGCATGTATCCAGGGGCGCTCTCAGATCCTCCCTGTGTTGTTTTATGCTGTTTGTCATGAAAGGCCTGCCAAGTGCAGCAAAACTGGGAAGACTCTGCACTACACCACCAGCGGATGATTCCACCGTCAACGTAATTAGTTACAGTCACAAGACTTTATATGCCGTAAAATATTTGAGCTGCAGTTTGGCTGAGCAAAGGAACCCTTTCTCCGGAATTCTTTATCACATCTGTGTGTCTTCCTGGCCACCGTTTCTACTGCATAGAGGAACAGATCAAACCTGTGCAGGCTGAGAAACGTATGAAGTGCCACGATTGCACAGAGAGACAAAAATAGCACAGGGCTGATGTGAGCAGAAACAGAGATGGAGATGGTATGGAAGAACATAGGAAAGGAGACTTTGTGTTGGTTATTGACCGCTGAGTTTATAGCTTTCTCTTTGTGGACAAATAAGTGATAAGCACGCTGAAGAGTCAGGGGGATACTGGAGATGTGCTCTCTGGTCAGCCGTGTGTGGCCATTGATTTGTAGTCTTGAACTCGCTCTGCTGAGAGCTTTTCCATTAGAGGTCCCACTGAGCTGTGACGTCTGCTGGACTCCTTGAAAATCTTCATCACTGCTTCATCGGTTTGCCTTTTACAGTTGATGTATTCATCGTTTGCTGTGAGTGGTTTCATATAGGAGCTGCCGTTTGCCTTCATTAAAAGAAAAGGGCCAACAAAAATGAACCAGGAGGTTGGAGGTATAATGCTTTTTTTTTTGTTGTTGCTGTTGCTATTAATTGTAATATCACCAAGCAAAACTAGAATTGCATTTCGCTACACACTGCGAGAAGTAATGAAATTTCCCTGCATTGCGACCCAGAACGGCAGTTGACAAAATACATCTCTTGACTGTTGGAGGATAATTGAATATTGATGAATCTGCTCTCTCTGTGGTTTTACTTTACTGCCACATTCACACAGCAGGTACATCCATTAGACTGTGTGGTGACTGATGAAAGCAGCTCATGTTAGTTTCACACAATGTGTGTTTTAATTGCCGCCTGATTGCGTTGCTGCCATTGATGTGGTTCCCTGCTGCATTCAGCACTCTGGGAATCAGACAATCAGGTGCATGTGAGTGAATTGTTGATTCAGGTAGTCAGAGCTCCCTGAACTTTGATTGGCAGCCCTCTCACGGTGGTCTAAATTACACTGAGTTTTTGTATTAGGTGTAACTTTTGCGTGGCTTGTTAGAATAAAGGCTTCAAGTCGGAGGGATCAAACATTTGCACGTTTTCACCAAAACTGTGCAAACATTGCTTAGCAACAGTAAACCGGCGCATTAGAGCTGTCAAGGCAAAGTGGTTTTATTTAAATATTTCAAACACAGAGACAAGACAGGTGCTTTGTGTAGGTGAAAAAAACATTACAGCAACATTCAGAAACAATAAGCAGTAATTAGCTTTGGGTTTCTCCATAAGCGTATGCGGTGTGAATGGGTGGGTAGGAGCGATGGTTGAGTTTTATGGCCGTGACTTTTCTTCTTTTCCCTTTTTAGAGCAAAATCCATGAGCAAGTTTGTAAGGAATGAATTAGAAAGAGTTTCTGTCTGCTCTTATTGAGTCATAAACTTGCTAACTGTTTCCTATTGGCCACTGCCAGGAAAACACCTCTAAGCAGCCCAAAAATGATGTCCTCTATGGCCCACCTCTATAAAAGAGACGTCGCTGAAACTGTTGACAGGACACTGTCATCTGCAAACTAGATCGTTTTTTGTCTTTTTAATTTAAAGTTGGCATTCACGGAAGTTTAATATTTGCATTTTTTTTCCCAGAGCCTCAAAAAGTAGTCTAAAAAGAAGTCTTTGGGCAGAGCAGGACTGCTGATACACATATGCAGTGGAATCACAGTCATCATCATCTTCTGCTTGACCATCTCTGATTTGATTGAAACTACTTAATCATAAACTCATGTTATTTAAAATGGTATTGCTCAAATTTTAGCTTTATATATCAAATACTTTCTGTGACAGTATTTTTTAAAAAATTACCCACTGACCCACTTTCAGCACATTTTTCAAATTTCAAATCTTCCGTCTTGGTTCTCATCATGTCATTGATTTTGAATGTGAAATATTGGGCAAGTAGATGCAATAATCTTTGCATATGGGTAAGTTCAAATATCAACAATATTGAAGCCCAGATGTGGGAAGTGACTGAAAATGACATTATATGCCAATTTTTTCTGAGTAATATTTTGAGAACCTTTTTGAAACTTCAGAACTGTGTTCTACTTAGAATTGGTTATCTAACAATAGTTTTGTTTTTATGTTACCACTTGTCCCACCTGCTCAAACAGTTATGTAAGTTCAACAAAATTTACTTTAAAAATTTTTTACAACCACATATTTTGCAAAAAAAGTATTCTGTTCTTTTTTTTTTTTTTTAATTATTATTACTGTGCAAACCTGGAAGCTAGAAAGCAATTTTAAGTAATTTTAATTCAACCAAGCGTGCCTCACCTTTAAGTTTGGTATCTAGTTCCTAAAATACATCCATGGCTTCTACCTACACTAGTCAGGTGGCGCACTTCCATTTTGGCTAATTAAAAGTTACAGCAACATATCATAAGCCCCCCACTGTTATATTTTAAGGGCTTACAAGAGCTATTAGAAAAAGTGCTGGTAGCAGCTGGCATATCTACGCCACACAATGTTATGCGCATTAGCACATATTGCTAACTGTTGCACCACCTAACCGTCCGCAGTGTTTCCCGATACATGATAAATTTAGCACAAAGTGAAACAACAACAATTTAAATCACTTCAGCATCCAGGCAGTAATGTGGTGAAACAAACTAACATTCTGATCTCACGTTTTCCTTATAAATCCTGTACAGTAAATACTAAGACTAACTAACAACGCAGCAATACTAGAAAACCATAAGGTGGAGAGAGACAGACAAAGCTAGACAACTATCTGCAACTGTCAAAATCAACAGGTGTTCTCAGGAATTGTTAGTGGGAAAAATCTGCTATAATTTGCCAAAGGACGAGGCTTCACACAAATCACCTGCCATGCATTACCTCTAAATGTTTCCAGCTGGCTTGTGGTTATTCACTAAGTCCAAGTGTAATCCTTGTGCCTTTGACAAAAGCTGAATTTTCCTTTTCTTGTTTTTTCCCCCTTGTTTTTGTTCTTGCATGTCATAATTAGTAACCTCACACTCTGTCTCGCTCTTTGGCACACTTCACTGTCATGTTGTTTCTTAGTGAACGCTCGTGTTGTCTTGTGTTTTCCGGTTATGATTTAATAATTTTTTTTCTCTTCTTCTCTCTTCTCTTCTGCTGACCTTTAACCTCTCAGACTTAGAGACCTCTGTGGACAGTCGATGCACTACGGACAGTGCTGACAGTGCCTTTATTGGCCGCCGATATTGATTCCCAGCTTCTTCCTTTCTACCATTTCTCTCCTCCAGTCATCCTCTTCCATCCCCTTCCATGCAGGAAGTAAGATTTCAAATCAGACTGCAGGACAAACAACACAAATAGACTTTTTTTCTTCTTCTTCTTTTTCTTTTCCAGTTATTATCTTGTTAACTGTTCTATTGCCTATCTCTTTGTAATCATTTATCTGCCTGTTCCCATCTTCACCTGTTCCCCATGACCTTCCTCTACCTGCTTTTTTCAGCACAGTGTGTTTGTATACATGTCTATTGTTTTATATGTGTTTATATGTTTTTGAAAGTTTTGCATCTACTGTATGTTTTATTCAGATTTTAGTCTCCAGGCACCTCATTTGTGTTTGTGGGTTCTGTTTGCATATATTTAAAGCATTGCTGCATGATGGTGCACATTCTAAAATGAGCCCAATTAAAGTCAGCATAATGTTGACTCATAATAGACAATAAATGTGACCTGGTTGTGTGCACACACTTTGGTTTGTTGAGCTTGACATGATGCCGTCCTTTGGTTGTATAGATTCATCAAAGTTATGTGAGTAAAATTATATCAATGCAACTTTTTTTTTTCTTTGCAATAAAAGTAAATGGCTTGTTTGGTTAGCGTATATATTTGTCACAGTAACAGCACTCTGGGCCATGCAGAGGTATGCAGGCCTTTGAACTTCCAAAATCACATCATTGCTATTCTGGCCATTTCAGAGTCGGGGCATTTTGTTGTTAGAGCATTACACAAAGTCCTATAAGGTGTTTCAGAGGATTTTGCCCGCATATAATTAATTGTAAAACATGTTTACATGACATAATATACACCCAGGAACTCGTATGCACCAGTTTTCAGAGCGAAAGAGAGTTTTCTCATACTCTGATCTCAGATCATAGATGGCTCCTGTCGTCAAACTGTCCTCAAAACAGCCACAATACAAGGAGCTAATCAGACAGTAGTGGGTCTAATAAGCACGAGTGATGAAATGGGTGGAAGTTCTGCACCACTCAAAGGAGAATTTTATAAAAAGAATTGTCAATTTTCTCAATCTAGCATTCATCAGAGGCACTACATGTGTGTTGCTGTATGTTGGCAAAAACAGTTTCCAACAGTATAATCCATATTTATCCAGAGGCAGCCAGATGCTCGAGTCAAGATAACAAATCTGTCCAACTGTGTCATGAATGTGTGCGAGGAGTGTGAAGAAAAAAAAAAAAAAACATGAGAGGAGGTTGCGTGGAAGCCCTCTAACATACCCAAAATAGTCCAAATTCCAAGGGCAATGATGATTAAAAATAATGCATTTGAGTGGCAGATGATGTGTGTGTTGAACTCTTTTGGCTTGTCTCTTCAGGTTTCCCCTCAGTATCACGAAACAGGGACGCCTATCAGTCCATTGACCATCAGGATGAGTCCTCCGGCCCAGCAAATCCCTTCAACCAGGCCCAGGACAGCAAACCGGGAGTCCGCACATACTGAGCGAAGCCAGCGTTGAACAATGTTTTTCCTCTGACTTTTATATGCAGCAGTGCAACGCTTACAGACAAATTCTACAACCGATTCCACGCTGTCGCTGTGTTCTGCACAGTTGGTTCACGCTGAAACTTTATTATGGTGAAGTAATTATCCGTTTGGGTTTTACAGTAAAGTGTGGCATAATTAAACCCCTTTTTATTTTTATTTTTTTCAAAGATAGTCGTGTGATTTGCTGAGCTGGCACATAACTGCAGAGGAAAAACTCTTCTTTCGCTCCCATGCTGAGTTGCTGTTGTTACCACCTACTATTTTAAATAGACAGGTGTTGAATGGAACTGTCATGTTGAGTCTTTTTTTTTGTTAAATGAATGTGGCACTTACAGACATCAAGAGTTTTTCTTTGTGTTCTGTAAATTATTATGTTCTCCGTGTATGCAGTATGTAAGGAATATTTGCTGGTAGCAATGCTGAAAACACTGGACTGTTAGAAACACAAGAGAACTGAAAATACTGTTTAATGCTGTTGCCTTAGAAGTTACCCTTTTGCCTTTTTTAACTAATGTGAGCTGGAAGATCTTCTGCTGAACTGAAGACTGGCCTTTATTCTCATAGGACATTAGGTGCTTAGTACAGTGCAGCAAACAGAGCGACACTGTTCATTTATCTTGTTTAGTATCTATGCAAATTCCACATTAAGACTGTCATTTCTCGGTACCGCTTTAAGTTTGAAATGAAATGCATTAAAAACATAAATAATGTTGATTTTTGTAATAGCCACAGAATGATCATCATTCATACAGTTATTGTCATATAAGTGAAGGCCTTATTATGTAAAACATGTTTACAGTCAATAAATTACAGACCACATACTGTGCAGCCTCTGATGGATCTGTTGGAGTGTGTTCCTGCTTCACAGGGAGAGTGGAAATAAGTCAGTTTTGTCGCATCACAAATGTTAAATGAAGTGTTTGAAACGTTAAAACGCCCGCAGCCACACTGTCATTAGTGCCCCGTGAAAAATGCGTAACATCGCACGTCATTCATTGAGCACTTCATGAAGTGTGCACTCTCAGTTTTAGTGAGCAGATTGCGGTGATAGCCGAGGGAGGAGGAGGAGGAGGAGGAAGGCAGACAGTGGTTGCTGAGCGATGGCATCGTTTGTACTCGTTCCAGTCTGTCGAAAGTGTAACAAGTTTGGAGTTCCTGTTTTGAAACAGCGGTGATGTGGTAACCGCTCCAGTCACATTACGGATCTGTGAAGTTATCGCTGCAGTAGTGGCTCGACTCGTATAGATTAGAAGAGAGGCCTTATTTGCTTACACGCTTTATCTACCTAATTATACCTTAATGCAGTGTATGCGCTGAGTTACAGCAGCGTGCACAGTGAGCCCGGAACAATAAATCACTGCAACACCACATTATGTCCACATCAGCTCTGTGTGGGAACTAGTGATGGTACAGCTGGCTTCCTGCAGATGACTGTGGTTTAAAAAAACAAACCTGCACAATGGCTGTTTTTGCATTCACGATTGGAAAATAATTAAAAATTGACATTTTTAATATGAGAAACACTGAAACTAGCAATTAAGGCTGTTTAATTACAGCAAAATGATTACATCCTGTGGGAGTCTACTGAGATAATTGTTTACTGTGAAAGTCTTCACATAGATCTTATTGCTGTCATTCCTACTGAATTATACGCAATAAAAAAGGAAAGGTTTTAACCATAGACGGGATAAAAGATGGACGTAGCTACCGTGACGTCACCCGTTGGTTTGAGAAAATGAAGCCAGGGTGACTGGGAAAAAGTCTGGTCCCTACCTCAGAGGTTCCTTTTAACTAACAAAATCAAAGAAGTCTCCTTTAAGTTGCTCCACAGGTTTTACCCTACAAATGTACACATGAATAAGTTGAAGAATGACATTGATGTGAAATGCTCTTTTTGTGGTTTGCATCCTGAAACTATTTCACATTTGTTCTGGTCTTGTGAATTCACATATAAACTCTGGAAAGGCATTAACTCATTCAGAGTTGATAATATTTTCTCTGATTTTTCCCTGTACTACAAAAATGTCATTTTTGGTTATTTTAGTGACGATGGGAAGAATGATGATGCATTCTTTCTAGTGAATCTAATCCTATTTGTTGCTAAATTTAATATCCACAAATGCAAATTCACGAATAAAAAAACACTTTTTTTGGTGCTAAAGACTGAAATAGAACAGTATATATCAACCATCTCCTGTATAAATAGCAAAAAAGCTGTTAAAACTGTCGATGTTTGTACTACGTTTAATGTTTTTATTTGAGTAGTTACCTTGTGTTTATTTTGTTTTATTTTTTTCCCTTTTTTGAGTGTGTCTTTAGTGTTTTCATATTTTTTCCTTCTTCCACCATTTGCTCTTGTTTGTATATCAACGGACTTTCAAGATGTCTTGTATTGTTGGTCAGTTTGAATAAAGTTGAAAAACAAAAAATGAAGCCAGGGTTTTGCTACTTCCTGGTTGACATCTTGGATTTTTGCAGCCAGTGATGTGAAAATTGTCGGAGGGGGGCGGAGCCATAGGAGCAATGATTGGTCAGACGGATTGAGAGGCGGGCCCTCTCTGCCCGCCCACATTTACCACCTTCTGCTCCCTTCATCTGCGTCGCTGCCAACTGTCAATCAAGCCAGCCACGCCCCTTGCCCCGCAAAATTTTGACGATTTTTAAAAAAATCAGGATTGATTTCTTTTCAGATTGGCCACCTGATCTCTGGACTTGACCATGAAAACTAATGAGAAAAAAATCCTGAGCTGTAGGAATGCGGTATTTCGTGATCTGTGATCACTTCTTTTCTAGTTCAAGTCTATGGGAGCCAGGACTTTTTGGAGCCAGGACTAGCGGACATAGTGATATTGCAGGTTTTTGACACTTCTGGGTTGGCTTCATTTTTCAGGGTCGGTTGTTACGTCCATCTTTTTTACAGTCTATGGTTTTAACACAATTTGTGAACAATTTACTGTTATTTTACAGATCTTTACTGTGTGATAAATAACAGACAGTGACTAGTAAAATTAGAGAGAGAAAAAAAAAGTTAATTTACATTGTAAAAACAGGCTAAAAGTGGAAATAACGTCAACGTCAGAAAAATATATTTACAAAACAATTTAAAGTAAGTTTAAACCATTAAACCAAAATAATAAAAAAAAACTTTAAAAAAATATATATTTGACTATAAAATCAGATTACTTTTCTGCAAAATCTGCAAAATTACCATCATTTTGCAAATGTTTTCCATTATTTGAAAGAAAAAATATATGTATTGTAAGGATTGATAAATTATTTTTAAGGGTTATTTTTGATTTTATGTGTCTTGTAAAATTACAAACAATAATTAGTAAAATGTAAATCTTTATTGTAAAACAACAACAACAACAACAACAACAGACCAAAACTGTACAAAAATCTGTATTTCTATAAATGGCAATTTGTTCTTTTACAGTGTGGGGCCAATTAAATTTTCACAATTTTTACAGTATTTGAATGGTACAATATTCCGTTGTTTTTTTCAAACATGATTTCTTTGGCACCCTTGCTGGCAGAGTTTCAGTTTTTTGGGTTGTTTTCTTTTCGTTCTTTATTTTATTTTTTACAGGATTGTTCTTTTTTTACAGTGTAGTTTGTACTCAGAACTCAAACTCAAAACTACTAGAAATAAAAAATGCTTTAACTTTGGTCCAGACTTTTTGAAATGTTCTGTTTATGATTGATCATATTTGTTTAGGTTTCGTTGTTGCTGTTACTTAAAGGTTCCCTCGGATTTAAAACTTTATATGGCAAGATACAGTCTTAAGGCCCACCTTCAGTGGGAATAAAGTTATTGTTGTTGTTTTTAAATCTTTCTAGCTCTCTAGCTATATTTAAATCGTCCTAGCTCTCTTGTTATATGTTGGAAAGCACATCATAAGTGAAATCAGCCGTCAACACCATGGCCCAGCATTTCCTCCTGCAGTGTAACGATGAAAGTCTCAAAAATGTGGATTCAGACTTCAGAGGTTTCACATGTTACAAAACTAAGGAACTAATTCTGTTCACTCGCAGGGTGGAGCTTTCTGAATCATTCTTCTTCTTCAGAGTCAGTTTCTGGTTCAAACATATATGGCTGAATTACTACAGCATTACAACTTACCATTTTGTAGTGGAGAGCAGTTTCACAGTGTTTGACCAGAGTTGTGGGTGGAGCTGGTGTGCTGAGCTGCAGTGAGTGGGTGTCCAGATAAAGAGGCGAGTTGTTTGTAGATGAGCGCTTTGTAGCAGACACAGCAGTGTTCGAGAGAGTTAGATCTAAGCCATTTTAAGGCAGCGGTTATTTTTAAGGAATGAAAATGTCAAAATATGCAACTTTGGTTGTCAGAGAGAAGTCTTTAGGGGTTTAATCAGCAGCCAGAGACAAACTTAAAGAATGAATAAGGACCATGTTTAGCAATATTTGCACATATTATGCCATCCACAACAGTAATATGCAGCAGTATTAGCATTAAACATCAGTCCATCCAAGAGTTTTAGATTTTTCTCTCATGTGTTTTGTCCTTCCTGTCACACATCTCTATTTACCCTCACCTTTCTCCTCACACAGATCTCTCTGCCAGATGAGACATTTATCCACCTGGTTTCTTTCTTGCTAAAGCTTTTTTTTTGTTTTTTGCACTCCACTGTGCGTATTCCCAGAGCGACACCACCTTCAGTCTTAACCCATTTTCAT